TATATATATATATATATATATATATATTTATGTTGTATAAGAAATAGCCAGATGAATATATACATATATATATGTATATAGATTATATATTAGGTAGAGATACGTATGTAGTACGTGTATATATGCATATTAATCATTTATATTTAAGTGTAATATATATTTTATATATATATAATATTATACTGTGTATATTTATGTATATGCATATATGCATGCATAGATGTATAACGTGTGTATTATATCCATAACTCGCGTATTATGTATATGTCTACATATATTTGTATATTTTAAATATGTTATGGTGTATAGAGAGCTGCACAACATAAAGGAGGCCCCACGATCTCCTTGAGAACGAATAAGATGCTGTTATCTAACCTATTACTAAACCCTAAACCCTAAACCCTAGTTTGATGCAGTATAGAGCCAGCACCCTAAACATGAATCCTAAACCTTTCACCTAGATCGCTAAACCCTAAACCCTAACTGTCTTATCTGCTTCTATATGATGTATAGGAGTTTAGGGTTTAGGGGAAGGGCTTGGGGTTTAGGGTTTAGGGTTCATAATTTAGAGGTTAGTTCAAGGGGAAGGGTTTAGGTTGTACTTGAAAGGCTTAGCTGCATGTTTAGGCTGTGGATGCCTTATTCACACTGTTTCAGAATTAGGGTTTAGGGTTTAGGGTTCAGTGGTTTGTTAGTACGGTGGAGTCGGCGCGTCTCATTGCTGCTACGCGTCATGTTGCTATTATTTGTTTTAAAATGCGTCGTAATATTTGCAGAAGTTTTGCAGAGAAGAGGAAGGCTTTAGGGTTTAGGGTTTAGGGTTTAGGGTTGTTACTGGGGCGTGTGCATGCGCTCTGAATGGCTGTGTTGTATTGAATGTGTGTGTGTTGCATTAGTGTTGGTTTGTTTGAAAAAGAAAATGATTTGCAATTAATTCGAAAGGATTTCTGCATTTAATTTCGCCGTATATTCAGGTGTATGTACACCTGAGGCTCTGGCGCTTCCTCTACTTCCTGCGAAACACCATCGGCGGCTTCATTCATTTTTATTCTTCTTTGGTGTTGCAAAGCAGAAGGAGAGGAATAATAAGCAGTTTAATTTGTTTCTTTTTCTTTTTACCTCTATTTTTCTCTTCTTATCTTCCCCTCCATTCGGGTGTATCCGCAGCTTCCAGCTCTGCTTGGCGCGCGTGGCTTTCCTTCATTCAAGTTTCGCGAGTATATATTGAAGAATTTGTTTTATTTTTATGTTTTTCTTCATTGATCTCGTGTTAAGTTGCATTAATTCTTGTTTTTATTTTTTAGAGTTTCCGCATTTCTCTTCCTTACCGAGTTGTATTGGCTGCTGCCGTTTATTTTCTTCATTTTCTCTCTGCCTCTGCGGCTGTGCCGGTTGGCGTCTCAAGTAGAAGAAGATGGGGAGCGTCGAGGAGGCTTTTTCGAGTCTAAAGACGGAGTTTTCTTTGTGGCTGGATCGGCTGCAAGCAGGGGGCAGCAGCAGCAGCGCTGCGCAGCAGCAAGACCCTGTGTTTGATGGCATGATTCAGGACATGCTGCAATATGATGCGACATTGCAGGCGGTGGAGCGCGGCGTTCGGGTGTATCTACAAGGTGTTGAGAGCATGTGCTGCGGTTTAGAGCGGTTAAGCGAAGCAGCAGTGCTGGGTCTATCAAAGAAAAGCGACAGCTACATTCTTCGAGATGTATGCTGCTATAGAGAGGCTGTACATCTTATTGTACGTTCAGATGCGCCTCATGCTATTCTCTCCCGTCTTAAACGAGATTTATCTTTTAATGTTTTAGAACCCCTTCGCAGACACCGCGAGCACAACGAAAAACTCAGGAGACAGCTGCAGCACAGACGCAAACGGCTGGCAGAGCTGGTGCTAGCAAAGCGCCACCTTGAACACCTTCAGCAGCAGCAGCAGCAGCAACAGCAACAGCAACAGCAACAGCAAGACCCGCAGCAACAGCAACAGCAGCAACAGAGGCAGCAACAAGAGGAAGAGGGCGATGACGCGGCGCCAGAGGAGGAGCATCACGAACTGCTTCGAGGCAGCAGCAGCAGCAGCAACAGCAGCAGCAACAACAACAGCAGCAGCCCCAAGAGTTCTGGTGTTTCTCTCACTCGGGTGTTGCAGCAGCGTACGCGTTTGTCTTCTTCTTTTTCTGCTTCGGGTGCGGCGGCGGCGGCAGCAGCAGCAGCAGCAACAGCAGCAGCAGCAGCAGCAACAACAGCAGCCTACGAGAATTTCCGTGCAGTAGATGATGAATTGTTTGAGTGGCTGCAGATATTAGAGTGTTATAAATGTGATATCTACGACTCTCTTCTTCAAACCCTAAAATATCTGCAGTACGATTTCTTTGCTGGTGCAGCGCATGCAGTTGCTGCGGTGCTGCCGCGGCGAATGGAGTTCCGCCCTATGATTGAAATGACGCCTCAGCAACTCAAACCCCTGGTTCGTTTACCCTTAGGGTTTAGGGTTTAGGGTTTACGGGGTTGAGGGTCTGTGGGGGGGGGGCGGGTGGCGTGTGCTAGTAGCCGTGTAGGGGTTTATCGGGAAGGAAATGAAGGGATTAGCGTGCATTCAATGTTTAGGGTTTAGGGTTTAGGGTTTGGGGATTAGGGTTTAGGGTTTAGGGTTTAGGGTTTGGGGTTTGCAGGTGGAGTTGGAGTTAGGGTCTCGCGAGGAGGAGCCCTTTGACCCGTTCTCTTTTTCTTTTGGCTGCGGCACGACGGAGCGGCTGCTGCACAAGTGGGAACGAGAAGCAGAAGATGCTGCTGCTGCAGCAGAAGCAGAAGCTGCAGCAGCGGCCGACAAAGCGGCGACGGGCGCAGCAACAGGAGGAGCAGCAGGAGTAGCAGCAGCAGGAACTGCAGCAGCAGATGGTGCTGCTTTAGATATATTATCTTTAGCTGTTTTAGTTAATAAAGGGTTTGGTGAAGCAGAAAGTAAATTCGCTCTGCTTAAATTCAATGGAGACACCCAGGCGGCTCTTGACTGGCTGCTGGATGGAGGCGCGGATCTCGTGCTGCAGCTGCAGCAGCAGCAGCAGCAGCAGCAGCAGCAGCAGCAGCAACAGCAGCAGCAACAGCAGCAGCAGCAACAGCAACAGCAACAGCAAAAGGGAAGTGGAGGGGGGGCCACCGGCGGCAGTACATCTGCAGCAGCAACTGCAGCCAAAACAGCAGCAGCAGCAGCAGCAGCAGCAACAGCACTGGCAGCAAGTACTGAGCTTGATAGCGTGCGACTACCGACAACTTTGAGGTGGGTGCAGCGTCTGAAAGAAGCGAGGAAAAAAGAAATGCTTTCATGGAAGCAACGGAGAGCAGAAAGAGACGCACAAACGGCTGCTGCTGCGAACAGCAGCAGTAACAGCAGCAGCAACAGCAGCAGCAGCAGCAGCAGCAACAGCAGCAGCAGTAGTACTGACAGCCGCAAGGAGTCCCCCAAAGGCATTAGCGGAAGCCCTGAGGGTGGTGATGCTGCAGACAGTGTACATAGAAAGAGCGAGGAAGAAGAAGAAAAGGAAGCAAAAGAGAAATCCAGCTGCAGCAACAGCTGCAGCTGCAGCAACAACAGCAACAGCAGCCGCAGCAGTAACAACAGCAACAGCAGCCGCAGCAGCGAAGCATGCACTCCTCTGGAGTCGGGTGTACAAGAGCCGTCTTCAGGAGGAGAAGGGGGGGGCCCTTCAGAGGCTTCTTCTTCTTGTGCTGCAGAGACATCAGATCTGCTTGAAATGAATGCAGATGCTCCTGCTGCTGCGTCTGCTGCTGCTGTTTCTGCTGCTGCTGCTGCTGCAGCAAACAGCTCCGCTGCTGGTGCCAGTGCGCCCGCAGAAGCGGCACAGTCTACCGCTGCTGCTGCTGATGGTGCTGCTGCTGCTGCTGCTGTTGCTGCACCTGATTTGTTGGACTTAGCAGACGTAGAAGAAGCAGCAACAAAGCCTCAAGGCAGCATGCTGAAGGTGCTGCCGCTTCCGGGGCTGCTGGGGCCCTTCAACGCAGCAAACTGCGAATGGAGTAGAGAGAAGGAAAACGAAAGACTTGTGCAAGAAGAGACGCGCGAGCTGAAAAGAAGGCTGCAGCAGGAACTGCAGCAGCAGCAGCAGGAGGAACTGCAGCAGCAGCAGCAGCAGCAGGCGGCCGCAGTAGCAGCAGACAGCAGCAGCAGCGAGGAAGGAGATAGCGGGGAGTTGGAGAAGGCAGCAAATGCACCACCAGAAGAGACGGATGACAGCCCCAACGCGCATGCAGAGACAACGAAAGAAGGAGGAGATAAAGAAGACTCAGAAAAGCGGCTGTCGTTCACAAGTCTGCTCTAGGGTTTAGGGTTTAGGGTTTAGGATTGGCGTTTGTCTGGGAGTGTGTGTGAATTGCTTTTCTTTTTTATGTTCAAACAGAAAGCACTTGCATGCGCTGCTGCCGTATCGCTTGACGTTCTATTAGCTGCACTGGTTTTCTTTGGGGTGTATGCACATACACCTCAAATCTAAAGGCTGTCTATCTTCTTTTTTGTTTGTTTGGAGAGTGTATATGGTGGGGCCTTTTACTACGCGCTGTATGTACAGCCTGCGTCTTCCTTCTTCTCTCTTTGTTTTGTTTTGTTTTCACCAGTGACTCTCTTCGATGCTTAACGCTGTACAGGAGAGCCTAAAGCAAATATTATTTGAGGGTTTAAGGGGGGCCCCAGCTGGAGCGCGATACCCGCGACATCAAAATCGTTTGCTGCAATCGCAAACCCTAAACCCTCTCGGGCTAGGAATTAGGGTTTAGGGTTTAGGGTTTAGGGTTTAGGGTTTAGCCGCACATCGTCACAGGCGCGGCCTGGGGCGGGGACATCGCAGTCCCCCGGCTACCCGTAAAGCCCAGCAGTTTTCCTGCAGATGCAGACAATAATAAATAAACAAATAAATGCTATTAAATATACAATATAAAACTAAATCTATTACATTTTAAGTATGTTATACATCATAAACCTTAGAAAAGAAGAAAGGAAAGGGCTCTTAGACACCTATGCGCGCTGCTCTAGGGTTTAGGGTTTAGGGTTTAGGGCTTAGGGTTTGAGCTCACGTTGCTGCTGTACCCACGAGAAAGTCAAGAAGATGACGAGGACCTGCGGGGCACACGCGCTCAAACCCGTAGTAAACCCTAAACCCTAAATTATTTGGCTTCAGGCTGGCGCCTGGCGAATCTTTGAAGCGCCCCCCGCAAACCCTAAACCCTAAACCCTATTTGGCGCATGCATCAGCCGCACCTTTAAGACGAGGTTGATGAGGGAGAGGGTGAGGGCGAGGCTGTGGGCGCCGTAGCTCCAGCGAACCTGAAGATCTTGGGGTTCAGGGAAGCAGAGTTGAGGCTCTGCTTTATCGCATGCCCAAGTAGAATAAGCAATGAAATTCCATGTAATATCTACAAGGGTAGCAACAGACAAAAGTACTGCAAACTGGCGAGCTCCCCGGACGAGGCGGCGAAGCCCTGCAGTTGTCTTCATATCGCTCTCTATACACCATATATGATATCCCAATAGATATAACACGAAGTTAAAGTCAGAGCGACCCAGATTAGCAAACAAAGAACTCACAAGCAACAAATATAAACAGAATATTATTACACCCGGAGTTCCACGGAAGTTAGGTAAATCCTCATAAACATCTTCTCCAGAAGAAGGAAGAGGAGTTAACGCAGGCATCGATGAAGGAGGGCCGTAAGACGGCATTCCACTGTATGGCCTCTGGCTGCCGGGAAGGGGCCCCATCGATGCAAACGGCATTGAGGGCCCCTGAGAAAGGGGGGGGCCCCCGTATATAGGGCGAGACACTATGTACGGACTCGCCATGGCTTCTGCATGCGCACAAGACGCAAGCGGATAGGACGGTATCCTCTGCTGCGATGGAATAACGATCAAATAGAACACCAGAAGAAAAGCGACAACCAGCAGGAAGCCCTAAGCAAACCCTAGGGAAAGAAGAAGCAAAAGACCGGCGATCTTTCAGAAGGCAGACCGAAACCTTCAAACACCAAGGCCACTAGAGCAACTCTGTGGTCCCTTTAGCTGGAATATCTTCTCGTATCCGCTTCTTCCCTCGTTGGTCTCCCCGTTGCACTATCGCCGTCAACACCGACTCCTGTTGGGGCGGCTCTGGGGATGGGAGGGTCAGGCCCCTGCTGAAGCCCTCGGAAGTCCTTTAATTTGAGCTTTAAGATGAAAGAAGTAGCCTTTGTTCGAGGTGTGGGCCGGCGAAAGCATCATCTGGGAGGTTTTCTCCTCGCGCGTGCGGTATTCCTTTTCACATGGCGAATGGATTCAACTGAGCAGGAAACGCCCATTTGAAGAACTCCAATAGGGATTCTACTAGTTGAAAAGCTGCGAAATATTGAAATCAAACTATACTGAAGCACAAAATCAATGGAACCGTACTGACGAGGCCTTCTTTGCAGATGTTGAACGAGCGCCTCTGGCGGTCGGCCGATGGAGCGGCTGAAACGAGGGAAGAAATTTTATCTTCTTTTTGCACAATCTTACTACCGTTGAATTCCAAATAATCAAATTGTTTATGTGTGTTTTTCCTAAAAGAATTCGTTCGTGGGAACTTGCAAGATCGCACAGGTTTCTAATTTAGTCAAAGGAGGTGTCTGTACACCTCGTGAAAGCCGTTGGTCGGATAGCCAATGTACGAGCGCAGGAAACCTTAATATTTTCACTTCAGTAGAAACGTGTACTGTTTTCAAACCTAAGACAACAACATTATACACCTTCACAACTATTATTGCTGCATGTTTCTCTCTAGTCTTGCATGCCCTTTGGGTTTGTCTGCAAAAGACCGCTGCTCTCTTCAGGCGTGCATCTTCAGGTGAAGCATCTTTTTTCCAACTTTCTCCCGTTCGCAGGAATTTGTATCCAAATGAATGCCCAACGCATACACCCTGCTTGTACACCCAACTTTTTTTTTATGCATGCATGCAGTAATGAACCCCCCACGCCCCCAGGTACACAAGCAAAGACCTCAAGGCTGCAGCGGGGGCAACTCATAGAAACTGCAAAAAGCCCTTCCTTCTTAAAATAATTCCCCCAGAAGTACCCCTGCATCCGCACCGAAGAACAGATCCACTTCCGCTTCCCTCACTTGTTGACCGCATACAATATAATTATGCATATACGCCGTCTATAAACATACGCATAATCCACACATTATATATATTATATATATACAAGCATACATATAATGCATATTATCTACAGTTAAGAACAATTACTTGGATAAGTAAGTTAACTCGCATTTCGTAAACAGGGTACATACGAATAATGTATATATATATATATTATATAATATATATATATATATATATTATATATATAATTCGTATGTAACCTGTTTAGGGCCTAAGACTAAATGGTGGGGACATTTTGTAACTTATCCCCGGGGGCACTTGCATTTACCCCCATGCTGCAGCAGCAGCAGCAGCTGCTGCAGCAGCAGCAGCAGCTGCAGCAGCAGCAGCAGCAGCTGCTGCAACAGCAGCAGCAGCTGCTGCGCTGTTCTTGTCTTATGTTTAAACTGCATGTAACAGAGGGTGAAAGCAAAGACGAAGAAAAGAGGGTTGTGGGGTTGGCTTCAACTTTTTAAAGCCTGAAAAGAAGTACGAGACCTCCTGAGCCTCTGCAATATTCCCGCTGCAACCACACCCCCTTCTGTTGCTGCAGTTATTGTTGTTGTTGCTGCTGCTGCTGTTGTTGTTGCTGCTGCTGCTGCTGCAGTGCTAACGGCTCCCGCAGCTTCTGTGCTGCCCCAGGGAGAAGCGGAGTTTTCTGCTGCTGCTTCTCCAGGCATCCAAGAAGGCTCTGCAAACAGAAATAAAGAAGACACATATCTCATTTTGCTGCTGCTGCTGTTAGTGCTGCTGCTTCTGCTGCTCAAGATGCGTTGGGGGCCGCAGCTGACGCCGAGGGAATACCTTGAAAGAAAGCTTCTTCGCTCTGTCGCAGTAAATCCCACACCCTGAGCAGCAGCAGCAGCAGCAGCAGCAACAGTAGCAGCAACAGCAGCAGCAGCAGCAGCAGCAACAGCAGGGTAAAACAGTGTTCTGCGAGGTTAAAGGGCGCATAAAAGAAGCAGCAGCAGCCCTCAACACGAAAGAAGGAGGCAAGAGAGACAGTGCAAACAAATAAAATAAAAGAGACAGCAAGGGAGAGCAGAGCAGCAACAGAAGAAAACCAAATTAAAGAAGAAACAAATAAAAGGGCATCAGGATTATACTGCAACAACATCAAAAGACACAGCTGAGAAGGCACTGCAGTATATATATAAATATATATATATATATATATATATATATATATATATAGCAGGTTGATAGATAGATAGATAGATAGATAGATAGATAAAGAGAGAGATAGATAGATAGACAGAGAGAGAGAGGAACAGAGAGAGACATAGACAGAGACAAAGCAAGAGAGAGAGAGAGAGAGTTAAAGAGACACACCAACAACAACATTAAAGCACTCCACCGCAGCAAAGACAGCAGCAGCAAGAAGCGAAGAGCAGCAAGCCGCTTACAGAGGAGTTATAGGCTGCTGCAGATTGCTTCTTAAACTCAGCGCCTCCTCAGTCAGAGGCAAATCAGTCAGAAGCCCCAAAGAAAAATAAATGCGACATAACAGAGGCCTCCACTTCTCCCCAGAAACTCCGGCCTTCAGCTGTACGTACACCCCATCCCTAAACCCTAAACCCTAAACCCTAAACCCTTAACCCTTAACACAACAATACAACACCAACCAACGGCGACAAAACCATGCATCCTAAACCCTAAACACCAAATGCTTCAGTTCAAAGCAAGCGCCATCCAAACCCTAAACCCTAAACCCTAAACCCCCGCCTCACGGAACGCAGACATAAAACGGTCCGAGGCCGCAGAGGGGGGAAGTGAAGCGCTGCTCAAACATCCCACACAAACCCCAAACCCTAAACCCTAAACCCTAGGAAGTAAGTTTTCTGTCTTGTAGCTTCTTCAGGGCATATCCAAAGAACGCCCGGAGGGCTCATGAGGTTGTTCGCCCTTTAGGGTTTAGGGTTTAGGGTTTAGGGTTTACGCGGCCATACCCAACTGCGTCATCGCACCAACTGCAATGCATATAAGAGAGGGGAAAGGACAGCCAGGAGCCCCTTCCTCAGCAGTAGCAGCAGCTGCTGCTGTTGCTGCTGCTGCTGGTGTTGCTGCTGCTGCAGCGCCTCCTGCAGGCGCCCCTAAGGGTCCCTCTCGAGGGGAAGTATCTACGGCAGACAAACCACAGATCCAAACCCTAAAAACCCCTTACACCTAAACCCTAAACCCTAAACCCTAAACCCTAAACCCTAAACCCTAAGCCCTAAGCCCTAAACCCTAAGCCCTAAACCCTAAACCCTAAACCCTCGTACCTGATAGCTCTCCCTCGCATAATCGAGAGGACCGAGGAGGGCCCTGAAGAGACCGAGACAT